GGATAGGACATACATTACGCAAATCGTCAAACTGCATCACGAGGCAAGCCCTAACTTGGAATCCTGAAGGGAAGCGAAAAAGAGGAAGGCCAAAGAACACATTGCGTCGGATAATAGAAGCAGATATGAAAAGGATGAATTACAACTGGACGGAGCTGGAAAGGATTGCCCAGGACAGGGTTGGATGGAGAATGCTGGTGAGCGGCCTATGCTCCTTCACGAGGAGTAACAGGCGTAAGTAAGTAAGTAAGGGAGATTGAGGAACTCTTGTGACCACTCTTTGGAGTAGCAGCTCTGATCTGACTAAAATTATTCAAGTTAAGGATCTTCACTAAGTTAATATCAATCTGGCATACATTTCAACTGATAAACTCTCCTAAAGACATGTTGATCAATGACGTTGAATGCAGACTTCAGACTAATAAATAAGACTAAGGTCTAGTGTCTGTAAGTATTTCTGTTTGAATTCTTGTTGAAAGGTGTGTATTTAATGTATATATCTACAACCATATTTTCAAGATTATACCTGTAGCTTGTTGGTTATTTCTATTCAAAAGGGTTAGAGAAATAAAAGTATACATTTACCATTTTTACCGATGATGATATGACGGGAAGTAATTCCGTGTGGCCTTGAGGATTACCTCAATGAACTGTTTTTAAGGAGCCAAATATGGATTTCTGTGGCTTAAAATTTTCAAAATGCCTACTTTAAAATTCTTTACTTGATTTCATTTCTAATATTAAAATGGAGTATTCTTCTTACAGAATAATAGTTTAAAGTTGATGAATCCAAATTATATGAGGAAGGTAATAAGATTCCAGTATAAAGATGTCTATATTTGTGAATATGTTTGAATTATCTTAAGAGCTGTGTTTCAGAGTGAAAATAACAAGAAATATGGTTTTGTTGATATGTTACAAGTAAATGAATTGTAACTAATTTGTGTATAGACGCTGGACGTGAGTGGGACATACATTGCAGAAATTATCAGACTACATCAAGATGCGAGCGCTAATTTGTAAACTTGTAGGGTAAAGAGAAAAAGGGAGACAAAAGAATACATTGTATCGGGAATTAAAAGCAGAAATCAAAAGAATGAATAGCAACTGAAACCAATTGGAAAGGATTGTTCAGGATAGTGTTCGTTGGAAAATTATGGTGAGTGGCAAGATGTACCTGGAATCTTTCGTGAACTGATGCTCTCTGTGATATTTAAACTCACATCACCCAACTTAGTTTGAGATATTACCGTTCGGACTATTACTATTCGAACCAAGACTGACCTCTTGTAGGTCTGAGATATTTAAAAGTGAGTGATCACAGAGCAGTGAGTAATTTTTGTGCTTGCCTATGCCGTCATAAATGGTCGAATTTTATCAATCATGATGCAATGCTTTCACCAGTTCAAGCGACTCGAGACCACATGCGCAATGTTGGAATAGTGGGCGGTTTGAGGCACTCGTCAAGGGATGCAGGTTTGATGTAGGTTGTGTAAGTTGACACTCGTCAACTATCAACATAAAGCACGCGATGTCAAGTCACTTAGACTAATGGCTACATTGCAATTTTGCCCATAGAATTCAACTGGCACTATAGGACTAGGAACAAACATGTCTTTGGTTCCCGACTAGTGGTCAGTTAACCGTTCTAAATATCTTTACCTCATATTAAAACAAAGTTCATAGGTTTTACAAGTGATTCATGTATCAAAAAATTCATTTTATTCACTCGGTTTGTCATCTATATTTATTTAGAAAGTTCTTCTTAAACTGACATATCAAAGTGGAGATCACTACTAAATGGAGCATTACAAAGTTCGATGACTATATTGCTTTGTAATTACACACACACATACATAAAGGGACTAATGTACACTTACACCCACAAATATCTACTACTTGAAAAACTCAATTTAATTCATTTATTCTACACGAAAACCTTTAGACCAGTTTGATAAAAAATGTCATGTTGTCTACAGTTTATTCAATAAAGAATTACCATTAACATTTATCTTTTACGGGCATATAATAGTTTAATCAACTAGAATACAGCTACAGGGGTAGTATCATAATTTATGGACGAACTAATCATATATAAAATGGAGAATCTTGGATTTCGATTCCAAATTCATCTATTCATCAGTGTTTGAAGTCACTAACTTCTGGTCTGAGCCATGTTGGCAGATGTAGACTACTTGGTTGGGGTCCGTGTGAATATCGTAACCAGTGGTTGGAGATACTTGGTGACATGGCTCAGAATCGATCACAATCTTGTAGGTGTATACACTCTTTGCCTTCCCTTAAACTATGAGATTAAAATCTCTTCATATCTTACTGTGAACTAATTCTTTCTTCCTGTACTATATCCTTATACGCAATCTTTCTTTTATATATTACCATCTATGAATCCGGTGTTCATCTTGTTGTGCTAATGCCGTATGGCCACTTGGACTGATGCATATATGTGCCTGATCTTACATTTTAGCTGCCTGACTAACAGACCATATGGCTAATTAACAATTAGTTTTGTTAGTTTGTGATGAAAACTTTAATTTTACTTCATAATCCTAATCAAACTGTCAGTTCGAATTAAATCTTAACACTAATTTTTTAACCTTAGGAAGTAATTTCAAGGTCAAAATTTTCAAGGTCATTTGAACGTCATTCAAAGGTCGTCCATAAATTCCAGTCTCTCCATTATTTGTTCTGTTTTTTTTTTACACCAATCAACGATTAAATAAATGATGAAATTTATCCTTTAGTTAGAATTAATCCAATCAAAATAAAGATGGTGAAATTTCAACGAAATAATCATACGATCAGATGCTTATTTCTCTTTTATTTAGAAAAAATAATTGAAATTGGGAGATAATTTTCATCTTTTTTTGGAAAAAGAAATAAAACTAGAAACTAATATGATTAATATCTGAAGGTGTTTTGTGGAGTTCATGAGTCAGTTGAAGTTAGATCACTATGAAAAATCTGGAAACACTTGATGGCCAGGTTGTTCTATTGTGGGACTTCACAACAATGCATATCCACGATCCCATCTCTCGAGGTTCGAACCCACGAACCATTAGTCTCTCATGCGAGCGTTTAACCACTAGATAACTGAACAATCATTTCATAAGTTGTAAGTAGTTCGTGATTTCTCGTGTGTTAATCAGTGATGACAATGGTGGATATGTCGTTCAATTTCGTGGATTGGTTGAAGTCAGACATCAACACTGTTGGATGTCGGTCGGCTTAATGGTCTAATGATTAAGCGCTCGCACGCGAGACTGATAGATCCTGGGTTGGAATCCCGCGAGATGAGATCGTGGGAGCGCACTGCTGAGGAGTCCCACAATAGGATGAAACGACCGTCCAGTGTTTCCAGGTCTTCCATAGTGATCTAGCTTCAATTGACTCATGATCTCAACTATTGAAATTATTATTATGTCGATATGATTACTAAAACCTATTTCAAGTAGATTGAGACAAACGGTAGTAATGAATGTATATATAACTAACAAAAACTGATATAAATTCAGTCAACATCATCAGTAACGAAAATATTCCGGACTTTTCAAATCATTATATAAATATCGTACCTGTATTAGATTTGGTGATTCATTTGGCATGACTGGTCGTCTTTGATTGTTATGTAGGAGTCGCTAATTTCTTGTACTTGTAAACGAGAAACCACTGCACCTGTTTTACAAGTTACTGGTTAGATAGACTCAATAGTTAAGTGGATAATGAGGTGTGGTTTTGAAACGAAAAATACTGTATTCAACTTTCTGCTTAAATTTGAATACTGGATGTAAGTACACTAAGCTGATGACTTTCAAATAAGAGAAAACGTACATTCTAGATTTTGATGCTAACGATTAATTCATCTATCTTATAAAAAATTCAGTAGAAATATATAAACCTAGGTTCCATCCAGTACTCGTCAGGAAAGTAAATCTGAAACAAAATAACTGCAGCAAAGAAACTGTAGGAAAATTAAAAGGAAACAACTTTTCTTAACAGTGATAGACATTTGAAACAATTAGTCCCTTTAATAAATTTCGATAATGCAATGAGAAGACGAAGTTTATGTGTGATCAGACTGATCGAAATGTATTGTGGAAATATATCACATAATTCTGATAAACTTCGTCTTCTCATTTCATTATCGAAACGATAAACATACCAATTTTCCCAGATTGAAATCATGAGTCAGTTGAAGCTAGACCACCATGGAAACACTGGATGGCCGTTTCGTCCTAGTATGGGACTCCTCAGCAGTGCGCATCCACGATCCCGCCTCCCGAGACATTCGAACCCATGACCTATCAGTCTTGCGCGCGAGCGCTTAACCATTAGACCACTGAGCCGGCATCGAACAGTGTTAATGTCTAACTTCAACCAATCCACGAAGTGGCGCCACCGTACACCATTGTCTTCAGTGAGCTGATATCTCATAACAGACCTGGTTGAACTCCACTGGTAACGGTGGTCTAATGGTTAAGTGCTTGCGAGCGAAACCAGTAGGTCCTGGGTTCGAATCTCGCGGGGTACGGGATCGTGGATGCACACTGCTTAGGAGTTCCATATTAGGACGAAACGACCGTCCATTGCTTCCAGGTTTTCCATGGTGGTCTAGCTTCAATTGACTCATGATTTCAACCAGTGAAATTCCTAAAAATCTCCACAAAACCCATTCTGATAATATCCTTTAATTGTCAGAAGTCAGGTTAAAATAACACCAAAAAAAATTGTTGACTTATCAACTCGGACAAAATTCTTATCATAAGACCATGTGATCATAAACAAATAATAGTTTGTCAAGTTACGGTTAGTGCTGTTTACTATTTTGTATATCCATATATATATATCGAAGTTGAAAGTTCACAATTCTATTATACTGTAATCTGATTGGTTAATTTTTTCATAATGTTGGGGTGTGTAGTCATATATATATCGAAGAGGATCAAGGTTCGTTATTCTCTTTTTTTTTCGTTTTTAGAAGCATTTCGACAAAAACAAACAAACAGACGAGCATTGCTCACATATTACTATTTTATTTGCAAGTTTCCAAAAAAAAATTTTTTTGCTGTTTTGCTTGTTGTTGTTGCCGTTGTTGTCAACTGAACTAAATTAAACAATGAGATATAAAAATTTAGATATTTCAATCTTATCAATAGTCTATCGGTTAATTTCATCTTTAACTCTACTTTTACTATTTATGATACAAACAAAAGGATATGGTAAGTGAAATTAATAACTTTTAATAAATAAACTATTTGTAAATTGTATAATATGTAATTAGGATCATGAATGATTATCTGTATTGAAGTATACTGTACTTTTTTTGTTTGTAGGATATGTACTTATCTATATTAGACTGTTACTATGTTATGATAATGAATCGATTGTTTGATTATGATCCTGTAGGTTATACATTTATTGATTACTATTTGATTAATGGAAAGAATATTAAGTATAATCATTGTATCCATTTACTTGTAACGTGAATTTATAAAATACACTCATAATTGATTTTTAATGTACTAGATATAGTGTTTTTTTTAATTATCCAAAACAACTTAGATGACAGATTACTTACTTACTCCTGTTACTCCTCGTCGAGGAGCATAGGCCATCCACTAGCATTCTCCATCCAACTCTGTCTTGGGAAATTCTTTCCGGTTGCTATTCATCCTTTTCATGTCTGTTTTTCAATTCCTGACACAGTGTGTTCTTTGACCTTCCTCTTATTCGCTTACCTTCAGGATTTTAGGTTAGCTCTTGCCTCGTGATGCAGTTTGATGATTTTCGTAATGTATGTCCTATCCACTTTAAACGTCTTTTTCTAATTTCCTCCTTTACTGGAAGCTGGTTTGAGATAACAGATTATAACCTCTGTATTAGGTATTTCAACGTAGAAAAGTATTGTGCAACTCTATCATAATTAAATCAATGATTCGATCTTTGTTTACTGATTAGAAGTCAAATGAAATATTAAATAATTTTGCATACAATAACTATCTACTCTGAATATGTTTTATTAGTTAAAATAAAAGTATAATGATAAACTGTTGAAGTACAAGTACATATTGAATAATAAATCTTGATAACTGTCTATGGTAGTATAATTTAACTCTATCAAAATCCCTTGTTTAAAAATATTATATTAATTTCAATCGTTGAATTCATGAGCTAATTGAAGCTAGACTACCATAGAAACACTGGAGGGCTGTTTCTTCCTATTGTGGGACTCCTCAGCAGTGCACATCCACGATCCCACCTCGCGAGTTTCCAACCCAGGATCCATCAGTCTCACGTGCGAGCGCTTAACCACTAGACCACTGAACCAACCGGCATCCAACGGTGTTAATGTCTAACTTCAACTAATCCACGAAGTTTCACATTGTTAAAAAAATTATTCAAACCAATTTACAAACTAATAGTAATTGAATTTAATTCTGACTCATTACAGAATGGTAAGTTTAACTACCCAGTAATTATTGATATGGTACAATGTATCATTAATGTACTATTGAGTACTTCTTTTCTTAACGATTGGTTTTATTTGATAGATTCAAAGGTTTTAATGATTAATTGAAGATGATGTAATACACAAGTTCGCTCTTGTTAATCTTATATATGTGACATGATATTTAATATTTTTAACTGTTTAGACTTATATCACGTGAGTTTTTGTTCTTTTGTTTATGAATTACTATAGCCATTAAGTTAAATATCATCATAAGTACATTTTAAGATTTATTTTAATCGAATGAATTACAAGAGACGTAGTCCTACACTGAATTGTTTGCTAAATATAATTCATTTTGTTAGAATTATATAAAGTTTGGAGACAAGTAATTCAATGACTTACTTACTCTTGTTGCTCCTTGTCGAGGAGCATAGGCCGTCTACCAGCATTCTCTATCCAACTCTGTCCTGTGCAATCTTTTCCAACTCTCTCCAATTGTTATTCATCCTTTTCATATCTACTTCTGTTTTCCGACGTAATGTGTTCTTTGACCTTCCTCTTTTTCGTTTCCATTCAAGATTCCAAGTTAGGGATTGCCTCATGATCCAGTTTGATGATTTCCTTAATGTATGTCCTATTCATTTCGAACATCTTTTCCACGCAAAATACTCAGTATACTTTTTCTATAAAAAAAATCTCATTATCTAGTTAGTTATTTTTTTCTGTGATTTTATCTTCGATTTATTTTTTTGTTTGTTTGAATTTTTAGTTGCGTCCAATAATGGAGTTCTAATACAAGGTTTGAAGTTCACTGAACCATGTCCAGAACGTGGCTACGATTTTAATGATCGTAAGTTTGTTATAATTAATTTTGATTATAAATTAAAATGAAACTAAATCTGAAAATTAAATAAGTTTAAAGTCAACAGAATTGTTTTATTATCCATTAAACTAGATACTTATTTATGCTATTATTTATTTATTCATTAGAGGGGGGGGGGCACTGAATGTTTTTTTATGCACCACACAATTCATTTGATTTGTGTATGGTCTATGATACTGCCTGGATGCCCAAACCGAAACAGGCGGTTTTCTTAGGGGGGGGCAACACCCCGAACATTTAATCTAGATGTTTGATTCACAAGGAAGTGGAGCAACGTTAGGTGATACAGTCCCATGGTAGCTGGTGACCAATAATTGGTTCATACATTATTTGTTCATTCAGGATTCTGGAGCTAGCCCATATGCAAGCTAGGTTTGAAATCAGAGTTTTCCAACTCCCTTAGGTAGATCCTCTGTTTTCACCGACCCGGTTAAAGCACCGGACATTTACTTTTCATCCTCCCAATTTCGTAAACACCCCGACGCGAGATAGTGAGTAGGACTTCCCTGAGAGTGGTTGTATGCGCACGACTATATGAGAGCATTTCGAGATGGAGAGTTGACTCTTCCCACTCTCGGCCGTAACAGGACATTCAGGAATGCTTTAATGAATTTTATAAATCAATAATAAGAGTGAATAAAACGTAAATATACGTACTATTGCCAGTCTTACTAATGTTTTACATATTTGAGGCTCCTTTGAAAAACTGGCACATACAATGAAAGATAAAACTCATTTTTCTCATAATTACATCTAGTTGGTTATAAAAAAAACAGAAAATCGCACAATTTCTAGAACTCCATCAATGAATAGTGATCAGTGGTCTAGTGGTTAAGCGCTCACGCGCGCATTCGGATCTCGCAAGACGGGATCGTGTATGCGCACTACTGAGGAGTCCCACAATAGGACGAAACGGCTGTCCAGTGTTTCCAAGTTTCCCATGGTGATCTCGTTTCAAAGGACTCATGATCTCAATCATTGAAATTACAAATTACTGTCAGTTAATTAATATTCCTTGAAGTGACATGTTTTTGTTTTACAAGTTCACATATTATTCAAACAACAGTTTAACAAAATAGAAGAGTAATGAATACTATTATTATCGAATTTATAGATTTCAAGCCTAAATTCAGTAAATGAATTGTATTGTTTCGTTCAATTATTTACATATATTACAAACTATCAACCAGTCGTCTTATACATGTTACTACTATTCATAAACCTTTAATATGCTTTATAATACTACACCATTATATATTACAGTATGAGAAATAGAATTCAAGAGACCAGTTATTGTTATATTTTAGTCAAGATTAACAATGTTAATTTCGAGAAACATAGTTCCAACAATAATGAAACTACATTCATTCTATTCCTATTGTACTGAATAATAATAAGGCAATACAATTTGCTATCTAACGTATATTTACTAAATAATATTAGTTTATAGTAATAAAAAAAAATAGTTCACCTTGAAATGTCCCAGATATTCCCGTCCAATTAACCTTAATTTCTTGTAATGACTCGGATAAAGTGGCGTGATCATGTCTTCTAATATACAATATATGGTATTTGTGTACACACATAATAGAATTAACTACACAAAAGTATATCCATCCAACATTGTGTTAACCTAAAAATGTATACATAAACATATATTCAAGTATTAATACATTAAACCCTAAGACACACCCTTTATGATTCTATGCATATTTAAAATAATAGATATATATGAACTGATAAAATGACACTATTAAATATGATTTATTATTGTGATTAAGTCAAAGTTCATTCTTCTAATCTGACTAGACTGAACTTCTTTTAAATATATAAACAGATTCAAAATGAATATAATTAAATAACTTCATACTATTGAGTTGGCATTCAACGATGTTAATGTCTAACTTCAATCAATAACATGATCTTCATCTATTGTCTGAAATAGCATACCTGTCTCTATCCGATACGGATTGAACTCCACTGGTTAGGGCTTCTCATTTGAACTCCAGGAAATTCATCTTGGAGCTAGTCACTAGTGAGCACATGATGATTATTATTAGAATGGAATTTGTGGAGATTGTACTAATTTGAATAGTTCATAAGTTGTTATCAGCTAGACCAGGTTTTCAATGGTAATCTAGCTTATAACGGTTCATGAATTCAACTATTTAAATAACTACAATATGCACAAATCCTCATTCTCATAATAAACTTTTATCTAATTTATATTGGATCTGTTTTACGAATTACCTATTATTGATCTTACAGACAACATAAATTTTAGTTCCTATTCCTACTCTTATGTAGCTAGTTGTGGTAATTAGCTGATTGATTATGGAATTTACCAAGCTTTTTATTTGCATACACACAAGCTTTTAAAGTTGTTATTTATACTACTATCTATTACACCATCACGTTTATCCATTTTTCACATGTCCTCACAGAATTATTTCTTAACATTTCATCTTAATTTCAATTTTACGAATTTCGGGTTACTAAATGACTGCACATCGTTGGCATAGATTTTCTACTGAATTTTAAAATCAATATATTTGTGTAGAACCTCGATAAGAAACTAACTGATGTCTTAGTAGGAATATTTCATAAAATCATTATCTATATCACCTGCATCTTGATTAGCTGAGGATTGTCTTCACTTTTTCGAGATTACAGTCAATAGGTGTCGGCAGTAAAATATGCTTTTACTGTTTAGTTTTCATGAAGTTAAGGTAAACACCTTTCTATCGAACATGAATTCAACTATTCAAACTACTACAATTTCCACGAATACTATTCTAATAATAATCATTATGTACTCTCTAATGACTGGCTTCAAGATAGATTTTTTGGAGTTCGAGTGAGAAGCCATGACCAGTGAAGTCCAATCCGCGTCGCATATAGGCAAATATCTACCTCAGACAATGGATGAATGGTTGCGCAAGATCATGGATCGATGTAAATTAGAAATTAACATCGTTGATCACCTGCTCAATGGTCTACAGGTTAAGCGTCCGCGTACGAGACTGAAGGCCCTTGGTTCGAGTCCCTTTTTTGCGGGATCGTGGACGCACATTGCTGAGCAGCCCCGTACTAGGGTAAAACTGCCGTCCAGTACACACAGGTTTCCAATGATCGACTCATAAATTCAACTATTAAAAATCACTACAATCTCCACAAAACGCCATTCTAATTTAAATAAGTAGTTGATTTATTCAATATTGTGATATTAATTCCATTGGAAACATAGTAGAGTAAGTTAGTTATGATAAATTGTCGATACGAATATGTGAACTTGGTTGTCGGTATAATTGTCTGTTCACAAGCTTCAGATAATAAGTTATTCTGTTTATTGTGTAATGATAACCATACGTTTCTAGTGTTCAGTGAAAGTGAAAGTGAGATATGTAATATTTTCGAGTATTTTCCCATTCATTCAGTGTGTCGGTATTGCATTCAATAGTGTAATTTATTTTCACTGGACAATTCATTTTAATAATTTGAATGTGAATATGTGTTGTGTGAACACGCCAGTGTAGTGAATTCGAAGATGTTGGATAAGAAACGAAACCAACGAACAAATAAGGTGAGAGTGAGAGTTTGGTAAGAAATCCTCTCTGAAAACTATGTTGGTATATGTGATATGGATTCAGTGAATGAATGGAAAAATGCTAGATATTGCATATATCTTAACGGTTGAGAAGTGGATGTGGTAGCTGTTTTAATTCATTTAATTCATCTTTAGTTAAATCAAACATACTTTTGATATAACTAAGCGTCTGGAGTTTTATTCTTCATATCTTTCGCTGTTTCATTAGAAAGGCAGTTTAATTTCGGTTCAACTGTAAGTATAATATTGAACGGTCATAATCATGAATTCACTTGGTATTGTTTGGCTTGTATCTTCCCATTGAGGTTTAAGACTGCAATTGATCAGTCACTTATTACCAAGTGAATTCAAATTCACCCCATTGCACAAGCAAGTGGCTATCAGGACTCAGTAGCTGAGTGGATAACGCGATGGCGTTTGAAGCAAATGGTGCTGGGTCCGAGTCCCAGAGTGAACATCAACTCCGATTTTATTAATTTATTTATTTCAACACATAGATATTGGTACAAAGAGGCACCAAATACATATGCGCCACACAAATCTCATTCGATATGTGTGAGGGCTGTGATACTGCTCGGGTGCCCAAACCGAAGCAGGTGGTTTTCTTAGGGAGCAACACCCCGAGCCTTCGACCTGAGGGTCTGATCCACAAGGCAGTGGAGCATCGTAAGGAGATGCAGTCCCATGGAAGCCGGTGACCAACGATTGGTTCATACGTCATTTGTTCCCGCAGGATACTGGAGCCCATGTGCACCAATGGTTTGGAATCCGGTTAAAGCGCCGGAAATTCGCTTTTCGTCCTCTCATTTCCGTAAACAACACCCCCGCCACGAGAAGGCAGTGAGTAGGACTTCCTTGGCAGAGGCCATATACGCGTTTCCATGTGAGAGCATTTGGGAGGGAGAGCGGACTCTCCCCACTCTCGGCCGTACCAGAACATTTGGGGGGCATCATGAGATGCAGATAAATCCAGCTGACGAGTCCAAATAGGACGAAACGCGTGTCCTGGCTTCCACTGCTAGCCACTATCCATCATGGTCATAATCATGGTCTACTTCCTTTACAATTAGAACCTTATCATGGATACTTAGATTTCTATCTGATAAATTCATTATCACTTTTGTTAAGATTCACGGTGTAAGATTTGTCTACAGTCTGTTAAATTTCAAGGTTTTATATGTGTTGGAAATTTTTCTCAAAGCTTCAAACTGTCGTTGTTTTAAAGAGAGATAATGAATCCTTAAAATTGTCTCAAACGTATTAGTATCTTCAATGTACTCACTCTCTTATAACAAGATTAATTTATACCATATTATGTTGTAAGCTTTCAGGACAATGTACAAATTACAAAAAGATTTTTGATTTTGTAAGATAAAAGTTATAGTAATTTAGTAGTTGAATTCATGAGTCAATTGAAGCTAGATCATCATGTAAAACTAAAAACACTGAACGACCGTTTCGTCTTAGTATGGGACTCCTCAGCAGTGCAAATCTGCGATCTCGCCTCGAGAGATTCGAACCTAGGACCTATCGGTCTGTCTGATTATAACAGTTATATTTATTCACTTCACTTGATGTTGTTTTACTTATATTTTCCCATTGTTATTTAGGACTGTAATTGATCAGTTTCATGTTGGCATTTATTCATCCTGTGCGGATTGCCTCAATATAACCTTAATTCACAAGCTTTATAAACAAAGATGGATAGTGGCCAGCAGTGGAATCCAGTTTCACGTTCATTTCGTCCTACTTGGGACTCGTCAGCACAAGCAGTAGTTAAGTGGAGAACACGATGACGTTTGAAGTGAACGGTACTGTGTTCGAGTCCCAGACTGAACTCTGAGATACTGATATATCCAGCTGACGAATCCCAAATAGAAAGAAACATGCATCCTGGATTCTACTGTTAGCCACTATCCATCTTTTATATTTATTCACGTTTCTAATATTATTTCCAATATATTTTAATAGTCATTTTCACTTTATCAAGATTTTAATGTGTTACATCATTTTAGTCACGAGTGAATCAACTTATCATCATCTATGATTAATTATCAGGTCATAATTAAGAAAAATCGACCCTATATATGTATATATATCAAGGCCATTCAGTACTGGTCCTTGTAATGGTGTCTACATAACAAATAAGTAAATATATTCAATGATGAATATAATGGGACAATAGAATACTTTGAAATAAACATAAAATTTGTTTATTGAATGAAATAATCGTACGATAATACAATCACATGATAAAAAGTAATAGAGAATCAACTTAATTTGAATAGTAGGTTGAGCCATATTTAAGTCTGACCTTAAATTATAGTAATGAATAGGTGTATCACATTATGTCAAGGTAGAGTAATGAAATATAAAGCAAGATAATAATGATATTGCCATCAATCAATATAATTACATAACTTACTTGAATTATCTAAAAACAAATATCTTCTACGTTTACGTGTTTAGTATGTAAACATACATAAGTAGTATCAGAGGAGTATGAATTCAGTTCACTTATTTATGATTGAGATCATGAACTAATTGATGTTAGACCACTATTAAAAACCTGGAACCATTGGACAGCCGTTTCATTCCGTTGTGATACTTGCTCAAGGGATTAGAACCCAGAACATTCGATCTCGCGTGTGAACGCTTAACCTCTAGACCACTGAGTCGGCATTCAACGGTGTTAATGTCTAACCTCAACCAATCCGCGAAATTGCGGTTACTTCATGTTATCAGTTACAATTCCTTAGTGAACTATTGAACTTTTTTCCTAACTGATTTCTGTAGGTGAATTATATAACGAGTTGATAATTATGTAATCCGATAGTTGAGATCATGAGTCAATTGAAGCTGGCCCACCATGGAAAACCTAGAAGCACTGGACGGCCGTTTCCTCCTATTGTGGGACTCCTCAGCAGTGCGCATCCTAACCTTGGACCTATCAGTCTCGAGCGCAAACACTTAACCACTAGACCACTGAGCCGGAATCCAACGGTTTTAGATTACTAAAATCTCCACAAAATCCCCTTCTGATACTAATTATCTATTCGCTAATACTGATTTATATGATGAGTTGAATATAGAATTCTATGATTAATTTTCAAATTAAATATCTTCGACGAGACTATAATTTATGGACGAACCAATCACTTGTAAGATAACATGTCTCAGATTTTGGCGCAAAATTCACTCATTTATTTGAATAAATAGAGTTTCGGCATTATAGCTGATGTCAATTCGTGATGAAAACCCGGAATCTAATTCCTAACCTTAATCATTAACTATAAATTTTAATTCTAATTCCTTACACATGTTTATGACCCTTATTTGGTTCTGGTTAATAAGTGGACACTCTCAAGGTCAGTCTAGCATCGCTCAAATGTTGTCCATAAATTATAGTCTCACCATATCTTCTTTTTTTTCTTCTTGAAAAAAAGTCTTCTTATATTTATTTTACTTTTTTTTGTTTGTTTTATAATTAGCTACTGGAAATTTTATGTGTGTAGTACCAACACCAAAAAAATGTTTTAATTTATGCCAAAATATGGGTTGTACAGAATGGAATCATATGAATTTAATACCATCAGGAAGTGAAGAAATTAAACGATATCATAGATGTCGATGTTTTCCTGAATATAATATGTGTTTTTATAATTATGTACCTAAAATACATCGTAATTTTGATTAATTGTATTCTTCTCTCTCTCTCCCTCTCTCCTTCCCCTTCTCTCTCCTCCCTCCTCTCTTTCCCCTTCCCTCCCTCCTTCTCTCTCTAATATATATATAACTTCAGATATCCATTTAATGAAACATATCCACACGGCTCATACACAAATTAAAGACTAACACAAACTTGTATAATAACTATTCAATGCTCAAAAATGTACAATAATATTTTCTTCTTTTTTTTTCTTTTTTGTTTTGAACTCAGGTCAGTTTTTGTTTCTATACATATATACTACTCATTATTCCTATTTATTTCGTTATATAACACATGAACTATTTATAAATAAATGTGAATTAATAATATAAATTTAAAGTAATTCACTTGTTACTGTTTATTTGAATCTTTCCATTGTTATTTAGAACTACAATTGATCAGTCTGTTATTGGTATATGTGCATACTGTGCGTATGCCTCGATATTACCTTAATTGATAAGCATTATAAGCAAATATAGTTGATGGCTAGCAATGAAATCCAGGGCATGGATGTACCTGCATCTCAGAGTCGATATTCACTCTGGGAGCATTCGTTTTAAATGTCATCACGTTATCCACTTAGCTACTGAGTTCCGATAGCCAAATTGTTTTATTTATTTGGTGTGTATTTATAGTTTCGTATGTGTAGAACTCAAAAGATAACTTTGTGACGTCTTACTAGGCTAAATGATGTTTATTGGGATAATGTGATATAGGATTGTGTTGGCTTAAGCTATTATGTCTTATACCACATGATTTTATTCTGAATTATGTCTCAAGAGCTTTGATAAATACTTCATGGATATTCATTCTAGAGCAACTGAGAGATTCTCAGACTGTGATCATGTAATTTTAATCAACAGATGATTGGTTGAATAGAATACATATTCACTTTACATAGTATACAACAGTATATATCGCCTGTGCCATAAGTGGATTATATCATTTGTTCTTATCACACCAGAGGAGATAAGTACTCAATGAGTTGATCTACTTAGCTCTTCAATAACAAACAAGGGACTGCTATAATCCACTACCGGAGCATCCTATGCCTGAGGAGTACGAAACTTTTCAGATTATCAGTTTCCTTTAGGTACATTTCTTTAGCTTTCCTGAAGAATGAGAACATTTTTGAGGCACTACCGATTAAGAAGAGATCAATGAGTATATGATAGTACGTAGAGATATTCCTATGAAGTTTTTGGAAAATGACAGCAATGAAAAGTCCTGTTTTGTGTTATGCCATAGTGGTAATTTTTTTGTACATATCCTTTTAGAATATAAGACATTAGCCAATCATACAAATGTGGTAACGCATTGGAGGGAACAGACTCTTTTTATAAGTGACTTTAAATTAAGATTTTGGGTACCAGGATTCCACGGAGATTACTTACTCAAAATACGAACAAATATTATGACGTCATCCTCATTCAGCTCTTGATGTATATGTCAGGAGGATAGGAACGTAATCTATTTCTCGAGCTGTCCTTATAAGTCTACAGTTCCACAAGTCTTATCCTGTAAGTAAAATTAGACGTTTTCACAATGAGTCTGAACACCATGTTTAAACAAGGGATAAATTGCATTTCAGGACAGTGAATATCCTTATTAAATTATCGAAAGTATCTGGTGACATCGACCAAGGTGACTTGAATCTTTCTGAAGTACACTACATAAAGAAGTGATTCCTAAGGACTAATACTCAGTTCGTTTGAATACAAGGTTATTTCATCAAACATGTATCCACCGAGCAATGTAAAGTATTTTGATATTCTATATCTTCTTACAAAATATAAGTAAAATAAAATATCATTCGGAAAAATTGATGGAAGGTGGTGGCGAAAATTTCGTGAAAAAGGATAGTACGAAAAGCTTATTTGTTTCGATAAAGTAGTAAGAGCTCGTTTGTTTTCCTTTCATCGACATTAACATTTTATCTCAATTACGTATTTAATGATGCATTGGATAGTAACTGCGCATACGTCGTAGGAACTGTGTATGATTTTCAAGAATTTCGCTTACATGATTCTTAGAACGTTGTCCATGAAATCATTTGAAGAGTTGTTGTGAAAATTGTAACGTGAATTTACGAGTGATACGGAAAACAAACTGAATTTCTCTCGAATGAATGTATTATTGTAGCAGGGATATAAAAAGAATTAAGATCCTTGAGAAACTCAAGAACTTTTAAAACCACTTACGTATGCCTCTTATCCATTAAGTGAACAAGAACACAGATAGGGACAATCGAATGTACTTGAATACAAAATAACAGAACATCTTAGTAAAATCTGAGGACCATACTGTAAATACTTCGTTTGCAAAATGTCAATTAATTGTCTCAGACTTCGTTATTCTTTCGTTTCCACAGCAATCATTCTTTGTTCCCGTTCTCTTTTCTTTGAACTTCTTAACCTTCTGTCTCCAGGCATTTCACTTTCGATTGATGATACATATTACTTATATCTGTCGACATCATTAGCACACACAATACTGTCCGTGGAGGAGTATAGGCCTCCCACCAGCATTCTCCATCCAACTCTGCCTGGCTAACTCTTTCCGATTCTTTTCAGTTGCAAATCATCCTCTTCATGTCTACTTCCAATTTCTGATGTAATGTTGTTCTTTGGTCTTCCTCCTTTCCTTTTTCATTCAGGATTCCAGGTAAGATTTGGTGATTTTCGTAATGTGATCCATCCATATCCAGCGTTTTTTTCTAATCTCCTATTCAAATGGGAGCTAGTTTTTTCTCTCCCACATCAGGTTGTTGCTTATGGTGTCTGGCCAACGTATCTGGAGTATCTTTCATAGAAAATTATTTATAAATACCTGTACTTTCTTGATGATGGTTGTAGCAGTTCTCTAAGTTTCAGCTTCGTACAACAGCACCGTCTTGATGTTCACATTGAAGATTTTAACTTTGGTGTTGACTGACAGTTATTTTGAGTTTCATATGTTGGAATCCTACCCTAGTTTTGCCAATTCTCCCTTTTAAATCTGCATCTGATCCTCCGTGTTTATCGATGACGCTTCCCAGGTATGTGAACGTTTCCACCTCTTCCAGAGCTTATTTATCAAGTGTGATTTGATTGACGCTCGCTGTATTGTATTCGAGGATTTTGCTTTTTCTCTTGTGTATGTTGAGGCCTACTGATGCAGAGGCTGCTCCTACACAATCTGTCTTCATCTGTATTTGTTGGTGTTTATGGGATAGAAAAGCTAGATCACCTGAGAAGTCTAAGTCGTCTAACTGCATTCAAGCTGTCTACTGTGTTTGGTGCTTTCCTTGAGATTTTGAGAACTTCATAATCCAGTCAACCACCGAGACAAAGATGAGGGTCGAAAGTAAGCGGCCTTTGTCTGACTCTGTTATTCACTCAAAATGCATTTCCCAGCCATCCTCCATGCACGACTTTGTAGTGTAGTCCGTCGTATGAACTCCGTATGTTATTGACGATCTTCCCAGGTACACCACATTGTCAAAGAAAGTTCCACAATGTCCTTCTGTCCACGCTGTCGAACGTTTTCTTATAGTCAAGGAAGTTGATGTACGGTGAAGAGTTCCATTAAATTGGTTGTTCAACGATTATCTGTAGTTTTGCGATTTGGTCTGTAGACAACCTATTTTAACAGAATCCAGGCTGTCGATCTCGAAGTTGGGTGTCTACTGAATCTTTCGTTCGATTCAATAACACTGTTGAACACTTTTTCTGGTACTGATAGTAGTGTGATACCTCTGTAGTCTTCACACTTGCTCAGATCTCCTTTCTTTTGTACTCGTTCCTCCTCCCAAATCCTTCTAAACACAATGTGCAGCATCTTTGCAGTTACTTCTTTGTCTGACCTGTGTTCTTCCGTTGGTATGTTTTCTGGTCCTGCTGGCTTCTCACTCTCGACATATCTGATGGCCATGCTGATTTCTTCGATCGTGGGTGGGGTGACATCTGTGGGAAGGTCTGTGTATACTGCTTCAATGTCTGATGGGTTCAATGTGGCTGATCTATTCAAGAATTCTTCAGTGTTGTATCCACATGTTTCACTGTTTTTGAATCTCAGTGATCGGCTTGCCTTCTTTGTCTTTGGCTGGTCTCTCTGGCTTACTAAATTTTCCTGCCAGTTTCTCTGTGTTATTTTCGTTATTTCTAGACCTTCTTCGTATTCCACTTGTCAACCCTAATGCTCCTCTTCACTCGCTTGTTTGCTTCTGTGCATTCGGCCTGTGCTTTGGAATTTCCTGCTGTTGTTCGACTGTTGTTAATTGCTGTCTTCTTTTTTTCCTTTCTTGAATCCTGGTCAGGGTATCGATAGAGGTTCTTTCCTTATGATGACGCTTCTTGTGGCCCAGCACCTCCTGGTATTTTGAGGTTAGTGATTCGTCAACCTCTTTTCAGTCATTCACCATAGTAGTTGCCATTTCTTTAAGTAGATCTTATAAGGCTTCGAACCTGTTGTTGAGTGCGATCTTGAATTCATTGGGTTTACCAGTATCTTGACGGAAGACCGTATAAAACTTCTTTAATTCTGTTTCTCCAGTTGTCCAATGTTTCTTTAGCCTCAGTTCCATCTTAGCAACCGCTGGATGGCGATCTGAGGCTACGTCAGCTCATCTCTTTGTTCGCACATTTTCAGAAAATCTGATTTCTTAGCGATGCAAATAATATCCATATGGTTCACTGTGGTGTGATCCGATGAGATCCATGTAGCTTTATGTATGCGTTTGTGGTATGGTATACCAAAGGTTCACAAACATGATGTTACACTTAGACCTATCCTATAAATGATCAGCTCAACGTATCACAAAGCTGCACGTTGGCTATCAGACAGGTTATACCCAGTCTTTTAGAGATTTATTCCAGTTTGCTGACGGACTAAATCGTACGAATGTTGCCGGTAAGTTCTTGGTTCCTTTTGATGTAACATACTTGTTCACCAAGATACCACATTTTGAAATCATTAAAATAATTTTCTCAGAATTCTCACCTACTTTTATCAGTCCAAATGTTCAGAAACTACTGCTAATATGAATAGACGTTCAATTCCAGTTCAATAACACCAAATACTATCAACTTGTTAGTGTAGCAATAAGAAGTCCATTAGGTTTAATTATGGCAGATGCTTAGAAAAGCGATTGGCAAAACGACCGAGTACTCCAGATATGCTGATGACATGTTTATTGTCTGAAGTAGTAAACAGCATGCAATCCGTCTGCAAGAACTATTCAGTAATGCTCATCCCCACATACACGAAAAGAATGACACGTTCCACTTTCTTGATATTGCCATACTACGTAAGGAAGATGGAACAGTTCAACTTTGGGTCTATCGAAAAAGTACTTGAAATGGTCTTT